CAGTTTTCTTTAATACCTGACCCATGGTAGGGTGACTATACTCTAGTTGACCCATATACAAAGACTGTGGCCAACACAAACAGGACTTTTTTTTTTTTAGATTATAATATAATTACATCATTTCTCCCTTCAATTTACTCTCTCAAAACCTTTTGATATGCTCCTTCCTGCTCTGCTTCAAATTCATGACTTCTCTTTTCATTAATTGGTTTTGCATGAATATGTGTTTATATGTATATGTAATATAGATGATGTGTGTACATGCGTATTTATAAATATAAACTGCTAAGTCCATAAGATATAACTTGAAAGTATGTTTTCAGGGCTGACCATTTGGCACCGAAAAATAATTGGTATACCCCCCCCCCTTAGGAAGACAGCCTTTATCACTCCCAACTTTCCTCAGTTGCCTGTAGTTCTTGTGCAGGGGTGAGGCTTCATAGTTTTTTTTTTCCAGTTCTCTTTATCATGTATGCTGATGTCTCCCTTGTTCAGCCCACGGACTGCACGTTTCATTGTTGTTCTTGTTTTGAAAGAGAGAACCTGAAGTTAAGTGTAGGTGGGTTGTGGTAGATTGGGGAGGATTTGGAGAGAGGGTTAATATAATTAAAATATATTGTACAAAATTTTTGAATAATTAATGTTTTTAAAGAACAAAACTAAGTCCTGAAAGGAAGAATATTCAAATGAGTATGCAATAAACAAGTGTACCTGGGAGAGTTACTTCAGGTCCAGAATACAGTTATTCTGAAACACACTTATTTAACCAGACTGATTTCCAGTGAGCTCCAGGGTCAGAGTGTCTCTGCCTCCATGGCAGGTGATTATACTTCAATGCTTGTGGAAAACAGGGGCGGGGGGCATTCCAGCCAACATCTGATTCCTCCCCTGATTAATAGAGATACGAATGTGACACAACCCTGTAAGACAAATCTCTAAATGGTCTTATTATTAAAAAAAAGGGGGGGAGCTAGATATTGAGGTGAAAACTGAGAGATCAGAGGAACAGGACAAGCCACAGCCAACTTTACCTTACCAACTCCTCAGCCTCCAGAGAGAGCTACTTCCTGTATATTCACGCCTATATACCTTTCTGTGCTCTGCCATCTTACTTCCTCTCTCTGCCCAATACATTACTTCCTCTTTCTGCCCAGCTCTATCACTTCCTGTTTGTCTGTATAGACCTCCAGACCTCTATGGTTAACTAGCACTGGGATTAAAGGTATGTACACCATGCCTGGCTCTGTTCCCAGTGTGGCCTTAAACTGACAGAGATCAGGATGGATCTCTGCCTCCTGAATACTAGGATTAAAGGCGTGTGCTAGCACTGCCTGACTTCTATGTTTAATATAGTGGTTGTCTTTTTACTCTGATCCCCATATATGCTTAATTGGGGCGCACAAATAAAATATTACCACACAACCCATATTTTGAGCACCCCATATTTTGTAATAATCCTAGCAAAATATAAGCACTCAGTAGCATTTTCACTTGTTTTGATAAACATCATTAATTTCCTAGGAATAAACAATTTATATATAAATAATGTATAGATATACACACATATGTGTGAACTCTTCTAAATAATATATATTTAATGGACTAGAAATGGCCCATATCTATTGAAAATATTTTAACCCTTTTTGTAATCAATTATATCTCATTTTGACAGGTGGAAGTCAACTAATACAAAAGAATATATATTTCAGAGTTAATATGCAGAGTAGAAAGTTTTCTTAAAATGGAAAATATTTATTATGATATTTCCCACTCCTCCTATATGATTTACATGGTGATTATAATATTGTAATGCTCCTTGTTATATATAAGTGACTCACAATATACTATATTATGTCTTTTTTTATTGCTGCTCTTCCTAAGTAGAGAGGCTAGCCTTGAACTCCTCCAGCCTCAACTTCCCTGGTGTAACTTGTGATTAGGAATTTCAGTGCTCATTACCACAAAAGAAATGAGTCTATAATTTGCCTTTTGTGGTGTCTCCTATGGATTTGGCTAACTTGGTCTTTTCTGTGAATTCAGGTGCATGCCTCTTTATATTTTTCTCTGAAACAAATTGTATAGTAGTAACATTATTTCTTCCTACATATTCAGGGTATTACTTTGCCTGATCCTGGCTTGCCTCTGTGGTCCTCGGTGTCTGTAAGCCTTCATCTACTTGTTCCACCTGTCTGTCTCCTGATGGCTGTGTGTCCTTCCGTGTCTCCTTTGCACTGCTTCCTTCAGCTACCTTTTGTTTTTATTTAGCCTAGTATTTTCACTCTCCCACCACCTTGAGAGCGTGAACAGTGCCGCATTTTATTTAATCTAATCAGTATCATGCTGAACACAAGAAACAAAAATGAGTTTATTCCACTGAAGTCAGAAAACAAACGTTGTGTTTGGTGGTCAGTGTGTATGTTATCTCTAGAGTCTGGGAGAGCAATGATTTTTTTTGTCATCAAGAGTATATAATGTTGTATCCTTAATACTTGGCACATATTTTCTATTTAAGACTTTAAGAAATTAACAAATCTTCCCATATTAGGTATTTGAAATTTAGAGATATTGATTTCCTTGATGAAGGTATGTGATACAGAACTTGTTTATGATGTAATGGATTAGGATTTGAACTTAAATATAATTACAATTTTGTGTATGCATTCCTGTTTCTGTGTATGTGTGTGTGCACACATGCATGTAATTGCACATGCTGTGGGAACATTCATGTGGAAGCTAGAGGCTGACAACAGGTGCTTTCCTCAATCTCGCCCCACCTTACTTTTTTGAGACAGGATCTCTCACTGAATCTGAAACATACTTATTCAACTAGACTGATTTCCAGTGAGCTCCAGAGTCAGACTGTCTCTGCCTCCATTGCATGTGATTACACATGTATGATATAGTGAAAAATTTTTATGTGGGTGTTGGGAATATAAATCATATATTAATACCCATGCAGCCATTTTCTTGGAGCATAATTATAATACCACATTAAGATTCTTAGGTATGCCAGGCAGTGGTAGTGCATGCCTTTAATCATTGCACTCAGGAGGCAGAGGCAGGCAGATCTCTGTGAGTTTGTGGCCAGTCTGGGCAACAGAGTAAGTTCCAGGAAAGGCTCCAAAGCTACACAGAGAAACCCTCTCTCTCTCAAAAAAAAAAAAAAAAGATTTATAGGCATAATTGAAAGAAATATTTTAAAATCTTATTCTCTTCCTTTACAAGCTATGGGATGACAATTTTCCTCAATAGTAGAACAATAAGAATTATGGATTAATATAGTTCAAATGCAAATTAGGATACAAATTTAGGTAACTAAAAAGCATAAAATAAACCTTAATGAATATCAATGAACTCTTATATGGGTTCAACATATAGCATCTCTGAATTATAGCATATTCTATACTACATTGATTTTGAAAAACATGTTACATGTATAATTTGCCTAACAAAAGTGTACAGAAAAATTATCAAAAATAAATTATCAGTATTCATAGTTTTGATTGTGAGATGATGCAAATTCATAATGACTAAATAATATTCTGTCATACATTTGAAAAAATAACAATTGATAAGTATTATTCAATAAAAACTAAACCTTCTAAATTAAAAGAATCTGCAAAGAATTTAGTTATAATATCATGACATCAGGAAAAAGATAAAGAAACTTAAAAGTTAGTGCAATTTAAGTCATATAAATAAATATAGATTTGAAAGAAACTATGAACTTGAAATGAAAACATGTCACCATACATTTTTGCTTGAAAAATAGAATAAAAATAATTATTTTTTCCACCTCTACCTGGCATTACAATACTCCAAAGTCTAATTGCATTAACACTTCTTGAATATTTTGAAAGAGACTGTGAAATCTTTTCCATAATAGGATTCTTAACTTGCAGTTAATTCATGGAGTCACCTCTCATTTAAAGGGTGGTTATAATTTGATCCTCACTGTCCACACGGACCCCAGGCAGTTATTGTCCACTGTGAGGTAGTCATGTCTACAGATCCCTCATTGCCTTTAATGTTAACTGTAAGTAATAAGACACAAAAAAGAAAATTCATAATATCACTAAGACTTGTTTCTTAGTACATTTCTCTAAGAAGAAAACATCCCCTGAGAAAGAAACCACTGTTTACTAAATGACCTGCTCAGGGCCATAAGGGCTCCTGGGCTCCGAGCTGTTTAGTGGCCTGTGTCAAAAAAAATTACTTGTTTCAGTCCAATTTCTCTCAATTCAATAACCCCTAAGCCTCTCAAAACAAAGTAAAGTTGAAATGATTTCCAATTGCTTTGGATGTGGATGTGGTGAGCAGTTCCCCATGTTTCAGGGACATCAATGGAACAATGCTCTGACCCTAAAGCCTTTCTCCATTTCCCATTAATCAAGATTCCAATGAGCTGATTTCTTTTTTTTTTTTAAGTCTAGTCTAGAAGAGATTTATGAGAAGTGAGATTTTTCTGACTCATGAGTTTGAGCTAAATACTTTAGATATGTTTGCAGAGGAAAACAACACTTTAAATAATGTGTGCTTGATTACGATCTGATTCCAGAGACCAGCAATCAGAAATCGTGAGAGAGTTGAGTGCAGGGCTTTCTGATCTCAACTCTAATTCCTGGTGAATGGCTCTTCTTACTGGGGCTTATTTAGTCACACATTCTAATATAAGTTTATTGTGTCAGAAAGGTAAAAAAAAAAATCAGAGAATTACATGGTGGCAGATTTCATTTACTCAGCCACCTGTCACTACCTGTCAACTTTCTACCCATTCATCACCGAGCTTGTCACATTTGACATAAGCTTCTGAAGGGCTGGGTGAAGGGGAGGCAGGAGAGGCTAGATAAACGTCTTCATGATCATCTTTAGCAATGTCACTGGCTCAGCACTCTCAGTCTTTCAGACTTTCGGGTGACAGCTTTTCCAGGAGGGCTGAAGCTGCATTCCAAATTGATATTTGTGGCAGCTTGGATTCCAGGCTAGAGCCATGCCTAGGGCGAGCCAAATTCTGCAGTTTGATACGAGTAAACACTGTGAACTCTCTTTGTGTTTGTGTGGCTGTGCTGGAGTAGAATGAAGGAAGGATAACATCAGATGGCAGTTGCCATAGGTGATTAATATTTTGTTTTGTTTTGTTTTGTTGTCTTTTACAGATTTAGTGTGCCTTCTCTGATTTCAGTTGATGTCCATAATGATCCTTTCATTCTGCATAAAAGCCGGAGGAGAGGCTGTCAGTCATGGAACCAATAATCAGGTAGAGTGCCAGCCAGGACAACTGAACCAAAATGTAAAAATTAAGTTTGCTGTTACATGGCATTTAATGGTGTGTGATATGCACCTGACCAGTTTTAGTGTGAACAGGAATTGTAGCTGTAAGGATGGGGCAGGACCTGAGAGCAAAAAGTTGCCCTAAAGTGTGCGTGGGGGGTGGGGGGGCATGGGGAGTATTGAGTCTGTGTCTATATGTCTCAGGGTTTAGAGTGTGGTATGTGTGTGGTCTCTCTCTCTCTCTCTCTCTCTCTCTCTCTCTCTCTCTCTCTCTCTCTCTCTCTGTGTGTGT